AGTTTAATATTTTTTAGTCTAGTTTCAACTTTTTACCTTTTTTTGGAAATAAACTGTAAGGGCATCTCAGGTCAAGTTCAACTCACACCATTTTAAAGGACTTTTCGCTGAGAACAATGGTGCAATCAGATTTAAATTGATCAAAAAATAACAAAAGTTATGGCAAAAAGTTTGAGCAAAAACAAACTTTTGGTTTGCCATTTATTAATCACATTTCCTGTACGAACTGCCTGCCTTGCGTAAAGATGCAAAGATTTGCTCTTTTTAACCACTTTTCACCGGTGCTCATGGGGTTAGAGTGAGGGGAGATGGATTGACATGCATTTTCTATCCTTTGCCGCAGTTCTTCAACTGAGGTTGCTGGGTTATGATTGGCGTAGACCCTTTTAAATGGCCCCACAGAAAATAGTCAAGTGGTCCATGGCCATGAGGTCCAATCCCGAAAGTGACGATTCAAATAACTTCACACTTGGAAAGCATTGTGTGCGGGGCTTCCATCAAGCTGGAGAATCATTCTTTGTCGTTGTAGCAGAGTTACATCATCTAATAGTGTTGGTAAAACCTTCCTCAAAAAATTTAAATTATCACCATTTAAATTATTTTCGTAGAAATAAGGCCCAATTAATTAATTTTCGAGAAGTCCACACCAAACGTTGATACTGTGAACCACCTGATGATGACAAGTGGACGAAATTCTCAGATTTTCCTCTGCCCACGTTCAAACATTCCAACGGTATGCCATTAGAGGTGAACTTGGAATCATCAGTCCATAGGATGTATGGAAGAACGTTTTCTTCAGCCTCCCAAATCGACATTTGTGCAAGAAGATTGTCATAATGAGAGTTCCGAAGTCCCAGGACAAGATGAGAGCGATACGGGTTAATTTTGTAAATCCGGAGTACATCTCTAATTTTATTTTGCAAAAAACTGAAACCCTTCCAATATTTCGGAGAGAGGAATTCGGATTTGTCGAAATTACGGTGCCGGTTTCTTTTTGCCACAAGTTAATAACAAATCCGATTGCACCATTGCTTTCAGGGTAAAAAATCCTTGAAAATGATGTGTCAGGATGTAAAGGGAGGTATTTGAAATTTTGACGTTGAACTGGGCCTGAGTTACCTTGTATAATTTTTCTCCCAAAAAAAGGTAGAAATTTGAAACTAAACGAAAAAATTTTAAACACGTATTCTTTATCGTGCCAACGTTTCGATCTTTATTGAGATCATCTTCAGGGCTCAAAGTGTTTTTTTTCTGTGTAGATGTGTCATTCTTGTGTTTCGGGTTGAGAACGCCCAATGTTTTTAACCTACGTAACACTAGACCGCATCTCACGATCTCCAAATAATCATCAACTGACGGTCACCACACATCAATTTTTTTTTAGTGTCATTGGTTCAAGAAAAATTCAGTCGGGCCATCTAAAAAGGACACCCTGTATAAATAGGTACTGTGGGAGAGAAAACCTTTTACTGTAGTTCTGTATAGGATCATACTGTCACGCCTCTAATCGCCAGTACCGATGGGCAGGGGCGGATTATCTTTTCCGTCTCTTATGATCAGAGCGGGGGAACTCACTCCTGCCCTGTCTTTGGTGCTGTCCAGACGATTTTAATTAGAAATTTTCTTTCAAGGTGAGTCAAGGCTCCCCCTTAGTTATTCAAGGTTTTTTTTATTTGTCCCAGAAAACGTATTTTGTTTCTTTAAAATTTGAAGTTGAAATTTTATTTGTAAATACATTTTGAGTTGAGATTTTGTTTTGTTATTTTTTTTAAATTTAAAACTGGCGAAAGAGCCGGACCATAAATTTTTGGTACACCTTTTGAGGTCAAGCAAATACCCAAAGGGGTTACAATACTATGCACAGCTTATAAGTGCATTTAGGAGTGATCCGTCCGTGTAAATAACACGCCCGTCTGGAAATCTTGCATCAAGTTACTTAAGTATTTTGGTCGACTTGGATTTTGTTCAGATCGGTGTATATTTTGGAGATGTATATAGATATATAATATTGTCGAACACTTTCAAAGTTTCAAAGAAAAATGAAGTTGATGGGCACAGTGATTCGACTGATGGTTCTTATTTGGCTAGATTGGTGAGAGTACATACAGTTAATTTACAGTGTGTTTTTACCAGTAACTTTCCTCGTTGCCTCTTCGCTTATAACTTGTTCTTCCTTTTCTTTCCGGTTGCCTTTGTCTCTGCTTTCTGCCTCGTCTTTGCCCATCATCTTTAGATGATAGTTAAGATGGCAATGGCCCGTATAGAAGCTATGATTTTCCTCAAATGGGAGAAAAAGAGAGAGAGAGAGAGAGAGAGAGAGAGAGAGAGAGAGAGAGAAAGAGAGAGAGATTTCTTCGCCTTACTTTTTGAGAGATTTACGAATCTTTTTCTTTCTCAAGACATTTTTCCAACTCTATCTTTAGCGATGGTTCCATGGGTGAGAAGGTCGCCTTTTCTTTGGAGAGCTTGTCAGCCTGTTCGTTTCCTCCTTCGTGTTCCAGAACCAATCTCAAGATAACGGTGTTGAGTTCTCCTAGGGGGTCATTAGTCAATTAAGGCACTCCCAGGCTAATTTGAAGCTAAGAGACTACGCATTTTAATGCTTTTATAGCTGCCTGACTTTCTGTCCGTCTGTGAACTATTCATTTTGTTCTTTATCAACTCTTTTGCCTAAGTTGGACTGTATGGGCCTCAGCAAGGAAGATAGTTGTAAGGGTTTTACTTTCAGCTTTGATCCATTACGACCTTCTCCAGATTCCTGGAGTTGTTTCTAAAGATCCAATGTCTATGACCACTTGGAAAGTTCTAAGTTGTAAGCCACATATTTTTTTTATACTTTCCTTCGATTTTTCTGATCTATTGTATTTAACTCTGGTTTTATTTTTTGAATCTCAGGAGTCTGGAAATCCACCATTCAAATAATTACATTTATTACAAATAGCTGGACGTTAAACCCTCCTGAATATGAACGCAATTGTGATTTTTTTTTTTTTGAAAAATCAGCCAAATTTTAATTATCTCAGGTTAACACAATCCAGCTGTTTTTTTTATACTTTCTCTCGAATTTTCTGATCGATTGTATTTCACTGTGGTTTTATTTTTTTTAATCTTAGGAGTCTGGAAATCCACCATTTAAATAATTATGTTTATTACAAATAGTTGGACGTTAAACCCTCCTGAATATGAACGCAATTGTGATTTTTTTTGTTGAAAAATCAGCCAAATTTTAATTATCTCAGGTCAACACAATCCAGCTGTTTTTTTATACTTTCCCTCGAATTTTCTGATCGATTGTATTTATCTCTGGTTTTATTTTTTTGAATGTCAGGAGTCTGGAAATCCACCATTCAAATAATTATGTTTATTACAAATAGTTGGACGATAAACCCTCCTCAATATGAACGCAATTGTGAAAATTTTTTTTTGAAAAATCAGCCAAATGATAGAAAATGAATCCGAAGGTTTGATGTGGATTTTAACCAACGTTTTAAGGCTAAATGTACCATCTGTAGTACGTTTAATCCGCCAACACATGGCACATCAAATTGATCAATGTTTTGACCTCTCATTGCAATACTACACTATTTTTTCGTTCTGAAAATGTATTTATAATCTTTAACATCGTAAAATTAACGCGAATTGTTTTAGATAATTTTTAAACAAAAATCCGTAATTTTGTCTTATTTCCATTCCATGTCACAGTAAGGTTGTATAACACAAATCGCCATCTTTTGGATTTGATTTATAAGATTTTAGGGTTTCATGTAAACTTAAGCTTCTAATACACAAAAAAATCTGAATATTTATAAGAATTTCGAGGAAAACCAAGGAAGATAAGAATTCTAAGATTATTCGTTAGCCTATGGCGTATATTAATACTGTATAATTTACAATATAATTAAATATCATTCCACTGCACGCTAACGAAAGGGAATGGGGTTAATGATGATCATTGATTAAAAAAAAACGTTTCCCGCTTGTCCTCTAAAAATCTAATGAGATTGACTTTAAAAGGAGTTAAACCCAACAGCGGAACTTGGGTTTACTTGTGCTGTTACATTTACCTTAGGATTTTTTTCTTCAAATTTTCCAAATGCTTCCAATTTTTAAAAAAGTCACAATCATCGTAAACACATTGAAACTGCTTCACTGATCTACATGATACTTTCCACTGGTTTAGAACTATATAAACTGCAAATAAGGGCACAAATCCGTTCTGCATTATTAAATCAGCACCGAAGATATAAAATATAAAGAAGAATTTTTGTTGGATAGATACTTTTTTTTTAGTACTTATAATGATATAAATTAAAACCTTGTTAACAACGCCAGAAATAAGACAGATTAAGCTTTCAAACTGTTTTACAATTGTTGAATTTGGATAAAATGGGTGTTGGTCGGCGAATCGGTGAACTCGTGATGAACCGTCATAGGGCCACTTTTTTGGGTCCGTCTTACCTCGCGGGTTTGAGTAATCCAACAAACCCGCGAAGACGGCCCAAAAAAGTTTCAGCGTGAAATCCAGAGTGGGTTATGAATTTTTAAATGGAACACCGGGCATCATAAAGAGAAAAAAGTTTATTTTTCGATTGTTAAAAAATCCGTATTTAAGGGATTTAAAGGGTAGGAAGTTGTAAATATTTAAAAGTCAATTATAAATTGATGAGATTTTGTTTTGCTGCATAAAAATTCATAATATCTCTTAATTTTTTAAATTAAAGTTGTTTCACCTATTTGCTAGTCGGAAATTTGAATTGAAAAGACCTAAGCTTAAATATTAATAATTTGCCGGTTATTTTTATGTAATCTGGGCTTTTGAAAATTTATACACAGCCTAAGGCCTGTCTTGTCGTCTTTCAAAGCATGACTGGTGATGAAGTGTTAATCATCCAGTAAGATAAATCGGCAAGTAGCTGACTAATGTATCTAGCGAAGTTCAAGGTCCTGGAGAACCCCTCCCAACAAAAGGAACCCGGGGGAGGCGAGATCCAGTATAAAAACGGACGATCCCCTACCAGCGTCTGTCAGACGGAATCATCGCGATGAAGATCCAAGCAGCCATCTTCGCCCTCGTCGCCCTGGGCACAGCGACAGCTGCCAATCTACGTAAGTTCTGTTCAGTTGATACGGGGTTTTCGGAGTAAAAGTGTTAAAACAAATCAAACAAGTGAGTATTTTAGAATCTATTTGCACGGAAAAAAAATAAATCGTAGGGTTTAGATACATGGCCAAAACTCATCTGCTACTACCGGGATCATTGTAACGACAAATTTGCTACAAGATCTAAAAAAACTTTCAGATAACAAGTATCATAGTAAATGCAAATAAATAATAAGAGAGATTGGATTGAAAAACAATAATCCACCGTAAAAATATCCTTGTTTTAAGATAGTAAAAAGAACAGACAAGGGAAGGCTACCGATTTACCGATTTCAATGAAACTTTTAATCATATCAGGTCTGAAAATATTTCACTCATGTTTATAATGTTAATTTATTAACGTTTGTTAAATTTAACTTGGGTTTGCCAGGTCGCAACGTCAAAAATGGTCAGCGAGCCATAAATTCGGCAGAAATACTCAATTTGAGATCATTCGATCAAGCAAATTAGGTTAAAATATATTTTTAGGAAGAAAGAAAGTTCATTTTCTGAACCTCAAAAAAAAGCTAAATATAAATTTTTCTTCAGATCAAAAAATATTTTATTTTTTATCTTGACCCACTCTATTCCACAGACTGGGACAACCAAATAAATTTTTGGTCTCAGTCTGTGTATTAGAGTAGGTCAAGATAAAAAATAAATCGTAATAACAGCCTACAGAATAGATTAAACATCATGAGAAGATAATATAGTTTTTACAAAAAAGTTTTTTCCAAATTTTTGGCCTCCCATCACCTGCGATTTTTTCTTTAGGAATTTTCAAAAATAATTATAACTTTGAAACGGCTCCATTAATCTATGTAATACTTTACAGGGCTTTACAACTGTATAAACTACTTATAAATGCACAAACTTGGCAAAAATAAATTTAATTAATAAATAATTAAAAGATAACAAATAAAACGTTTGAACAGTTTTTGTTGATTTGATCTTTATTTTTCTAACTTATAATGAAATAAAACTAAAAACTTCTAGAAACACATTGAAAGAACAAACAATTTCGTTTTTTTACGGTTCTACAATTTTTCAATTTTGATCAAATCCAAAGAAGCTATGAATTTTTAAATTGAACATTAGCCTTCCGCGAGAGAAAATCACCCGAGAGCCCTCCCCATCAAGCTCGAAATTTTAATTTTTAGACGGCTACAAAAATTCGGATTTAAGAAGCTTAAAGGTTGCTTACAACGAATTTAAATTGGTGTTTTCCTTAAATACAAAACATAACATTTTTGGCCTATTTTACTGAAAGCTTCTTTTCATTTTGCCGTTATGCTTCTAATCTCATTTAATCAAGTCCTTCATATAATTTTCTTAACCTTGGTAAAAAAAAACGTCAGCTGAAATATAATAACCTAGAAATACAAGCATAAAATGACAGAAACGCAAATTTCAAGCTTTATTTTTCTCGGCTCCTATGCCCCTTTGGCAAGTATGCTCGAAGAAGTGTTTAATATTTTTCAACCTAGTATTAAGAAAGAATGTTTAATTAAAATCTATCATTCAATGTATTTGAAAAATAAGATAATAATTATTCTAGTTAAGATATTCTGAGAGAGAAGAACAAAAGCCTTTTTGATGTAGGGCTTGCTTGATTCTCTTCCAAAGTAGCTGTAAAAAGTCCCTAATCATGGCATGAAACTGTGAAAACTATCTAAGCTTTACCGAGATTAGAAATTTCCGTACACCCCGAACAAGTTAATTGGCAAAGAAGTACGTTTAAGATGCTAATGTCACTAAATCGAGCCAAAGTTCTAAAAAGCCTCGGCTGGCCTGGCGGTGGAATTCTCGAAAGGATTTGTAATTGAATTTGAAATTAGTTGGATTAACTGCAGGACTTCTTAATTCGAGAATTGCCGTCGAATACCTCAACGTTATCGATCTATAAAAATGTGTTCAGAAACTAGGTCCACATTAGTGAGCATAGAGTTCGTCCAAGGATTTCCAATTTTCTCGGTTGTCGGTCAAACCTCTCAAGTCAGAAATCTCCTTCAAGTCTTTTCTTTGGTCTTCTATTTTTTATCTTTCCAACTTTCCATTTCAGTGAACTCTTGTCCTTTGACCCTGCTATACTGCTTTCGTGGGTATTTAGGTGCCTCTCTTTTCTGTACATGTTGCCATGGGATAGTGACACACAAGCGTCCAGCATCTTTCCTTTCTTTTTGTAGGGAACGTTTTAATTTTGTATAATTTCTTTTAAACTCCATTATTTGTCCTTACATTTTAATATTCTTCTTGTTCTGTTATTCTTCGTTGAAACTCACACGATTATACGATTTCTTCGGCCCGTTGTAATTTTTTCTCTTTTGTGATGTCCTGTTATCTTCCGGTGGTCATTAAGTTGTATTTTTGTCCATTTCCGGGCCTGATACGCTAGGCGGCTTTTCCTTTCTCTAGTGTTTCAAGATTTTTTGCGCATATGCTCAACGTCTTTTCTCTGAAGTATTTTTATTTTTATGTAAAGTCAAAAGTTTGCCGAATTTTTTTGTGGTTTTGAACGTTTCTTCCAATACGCTGTCGATTAATATTGGTGAGAGGGGGTCGCCTTGTCTTACACCACCTTTGGTTGTCGAAATGTACTTACAATTTACTCTTTTCGTACATTTATTTTAAGAACGTACATAAAAATCACGACCGTCGACGCATTTCCATTTAAACATAAAAACCTTTAATAACGTTGAATTTATTTTAATTAATAAAACAGGAAGGAACATGATTTGCATTATATAAAAAAACACAACTATTTCGGCAGCAATTTCAAATAAAATCGGAAATTAAACAGTAATTATATGAAAAAATCCAAAAGTGGTTGCATAAATAATTATAACAAGCACGAGCTAAAAAACATATTTAATTAAAACACTCCGATCTGATTTAACGAATGGTTAAATTTTTTTTAAGAAAAAAAAAATTTAAATCGTCGTAAAAACTTTACCACGGTTTGTTGATAAATATAGTCAAAAAAATGAATTACATGGAAACCTGGACTTGTTTTCTGTAGGATAAAATAAACATGAAGTTCAAATTTTTTCGTATAAACAAAATGATATTCTTCAAGATTAAATTTTGAGTTAAAAAAATACTGATGTCTTTGCCTCCTCGATATCGCACTTTATCTCTTCTGAACTTAAATTCTAAACTTAATTTTGTAAAATTTAGGCAAAATTACTCTTATTGGTTTTTGGGCTAATTGAAAAAACTACCAAGCATGTTTTGCTAATTCCTTATACTATTTGACTATTGACTATTTAACTTTCTCAGATCCATGAGTCTTAACTGATCACAGTCGCATAAAGTACCTTTGGTTTTGCGTTGATCAGAGTTTTGCAATAATAATTAAACCTTTCCATGTGCAATTAATAACAAAGGTTGTCGTGCTTCTGATTTTCGTTCATTATTTCCATGCTTTCACATTAAGTAATTCCACTTTTCATCTATTGGCCCTTCCTTTTCTCTTTGCTGTTATTATTTTTCCTCTCAATTATATTTTGTATTATTTCAGGGTTGTTAACAAATGATGCTATTGTCTACGGTATATCTTCTTTTTCCAAATATATTTTTAACGTGAATATATTTTTAAAATCAAATAATGGGCATTTCTACGTTTAGCCTCAGTTTGTCTAAATTTTGCCTATTTTGGAGAATTCATCTGACTCGGTGGAAAATTTTTAAATCTACAAAAAATTGTTTTCTCGATGAATTATAAGTTTAACAATTATCAAATCATCCTGACTTTTGGTACAAATTTTATGTTTAGGACCGCAGAATAGTTCGTTTTGAAAGGAAAGCATTACCTTCGCCTATCTGAACTAAAGTTATATAACTTTCAGCATTACAGAAATTACATTGAGATTAATAATTGAATTATTGAATGCACAGTTAAGAAAAAATTGAATTTTTTGTTAAAAAAATGAATGATTTTTCATTGAGTCTAACAATCCTAAATCTTCTTCTTGGAAAAAAACGTTGAGCCTCAATCATATACGGCTCAAACCTCGTGTACAAACAATTCCAACAATTATGGCATTAACTATGTATCCATTAGTTAAGAGTTATTTTATTATATTAATGTGGCGTTCTCCCTTTCTCGACCTTTTACAACATATGGTCTGTTTTTGAGTAATTGCAACTACTTTTAAAATCTGATTTGAATTTTTTCTAAAGCTTCAAAATTTGGAAAGACCAAACAATAACGACATTATCTATTAAGGAGTTCAGCAGCAAATAGATTCGGTAGCCTCAACGATTGACAAGGCGACTCACCCCTGTGTAAGGTAAAGGTCCATGGGTTCGACTACGCCAGCCCTGAATTCTAACCCAACTTACTCAAAAATGTTTTGTTTTTGTTTTTAAAAACCACCGGCACTCCGACGGTTTATATAAACTGATAGTGTTAAAATATCCTCGTTAAAAAAAACCGTATCCTTTTATTACAGCAATCTGAGTTCAAGAAACTCTTTTTCTGCTTATTAGCCTTATCGCATTTAAAATTTGATGATAATTTGATGCAAAAATAATTGTATGAGTGGAATATTTATATTTTTTTTTATTATTATGCGTCATATGTAGGGATAGGGATAAAATAGGTGGATACAAGACGTGATCTATTTTGCTCTGCATGATCTCTAATTACATCAAATTTTCTTTAAAAAAAAGCATTGTAAAATTTATTAATTTAAGTAAATACAAAGTAGGATTGTGTGGTGTTTAGTGACCGTTAGTTAATGATTATTTGAAAATCGTGAAATCGTTTCTTTTTTCCATAACTTTATAATAAATCCGATTGCACCATTGCTTTCAGCGTGAAAAATCCTTTAAAATGATGTGTCAGGATGTATAGAGTGGCATTTGAAATTTTGAAGTTGAACTGGGCCTGACTTACCTTGTATAATTTTTCTCCAAAAAGGTAGAAATTTGAAACTAAACGAAAAAATTTTAAACACGTATTCTTTATCGTGCCAACGTTTCGATCTTTATTGAGATCATCCTCAGGGCTAAAAATGTTTGTTTTCCGTGTAGATGTCATTCTTGTCCGTCGTGTTGAGAGTGCCCGATGACAGAAAGAATGACACATGTACACGGAAAACAAACGCTTTGAGCCCTGAAAATGATCTCAATAAAGATCGAAACGTTGGTACGATAAAGAAAATGTTTTTCTAAACCTACATTACACCAGACCGCATTTCATGATTTCCAAATAATCACAAAGTTGGATCTTTAAATGAAATTTCATTTTTCTAGTTTAATTAGGGTTTTATTTTTTAGTTTGACTTACCCTCCTATTTGATACCTTGTTGTGTCATTAAACGACATTTGCCAGGGCAAAAACAGTTCGACGAATGGGGGTCATTAGACTAAATCGTAAATAATTATCACCTTGAATTAGGAAATGACGACTAATGTTAAACCCGTATTTTTTTAACAAGGGCTGATGATATTTTATCGCTTTTGACAGTATTAACCTTCTTGAAATATGAAAAATGCTTTATAATAATTAAATAAATAAAAAGAGTTTTTTTAATATATTGTTCGCGTTGGGTTGAGACGTTGAATTGGTCCAATTATCGACAAAACAGAAGATGATAACGTCTTACAAGGATAACGACCGTAAAGTCCGTGTGAAATATTCGGGATCAACAAACCTGCAGGAACTGTGTATTTTAAACATGTTTTTTTTTTCAGCTAGCAGTTGGAAAACCTGCAAGAGAGATTCTCAAAACTACAACACGTGTCTGAAAGAAGCCACGACCGGGGTGCTCAAGGAACTCAAGAGTGGTAGGTGCACAATTTCCTTACGAGAAATTTTTACTTTCCGGCCCAAACAGGATCTAATTATAACAAAACAAGATTCTAAAACGAAAGCCGGTTTGCGTCTCAAGGTTCCCATATTTTATTTTATTTTTTTAAATCTATACTTCTACGGATGGTTTGTCTGTCAATTAATTATTCATACAGGTGGGAAGGACGCAAACTCTCAATTATATAAAAATTGTGTAATTGGTTTATAATTTTTCCCTAGAACAAGGATTAATCCGCTCAATTAAGTTTGAACAATAACATCTTATTTTTAGGATGAGTTCGGGAGAAGGTATGAATGTATTTTTAACGTCCAGTACATAGAGATCGTAATGGCACTACATGAATTAAATGCACTTTTTTATTTAACAATTCGGATTCGGTACATTATAAACCACTTGTTAATAATTTAATAAATGCAAGATTTTGAAGTTCTCCAAGAAAAAAGATTATTCGTCCATAGTACTGAAGGTTCTCACATTGAGGAGGTAGAATCTCCGATTTAGGGGTTGTTTTTAATAGGAACTGTAATTTTCGGATCAACAACTATGCCAATAGGAATAAAGCGTTTAAAAATTGATGATTTGTACTCCGGCAAACTGTTGACTTTAAGAACCCTTTTGCTATAAAAGTACGCATTTATCTAGAGTGTTTTTGCCGGGTTCTTTAGATGGTTCTTACAATAATAGAAATGGTACGGAGAAAGGCCACGAAATACATATTTCACAAGATATGCTATCGCAGGAAGTACCATCATTGCCCGTATGAAGCCAGACTTGCTCTACTAGGCCTGGATTCTCTTGGATAGAAGAATTTTGGCTTCCGTTATGTTTCTGTGGACGATCCTAAATAATTTCATTGTCTCCCCGGAGATATTGTCTTACATTGGCTTTAGGGTACTCCAGTGTCAACTACCTATGAATTATTTGGTACTTCACGGCACAGGACCAAATACACGGGTTAGAGTCTTCAATCTTCACAGCTGTGCATAACATAAATAAATTCTGTGTCAGTGCGGACCCCTTTTCCTCGTCCCTATGGATCTTTAAAAACAATATAAAACGAGCTTTAAAATATAAATGAGGGTTTATATATTACTGTTATTGTGTAATTTATTCATCTCTTTATCAATTAATTAAGATTTTTAGTTGAGATAAAAAAGCCAGTGTCACGAGCGGGATTCGACCCCACGACCTTCGGCTAGATAAGACCGCTGCTCTAACACTTGAGCTACCATGACTTCGATCCACACGGATTAATTAATTGAAAGATATTAATTGGTCAAGCGGACCACGAAAACTAGTGAATTTAATAAGTTAAGATGAAGTATACTTCACTAAAGCTCTCCGTGGCCATTTCATTTGTCGCCGAGAATCAAATAGATTACACGACATTTGAAAAATGGCAAAAATGAGGGAAAATGGTGGGGTTGAGATGGGAAGTTAGTGTCCGAGTGTATCGAAGTCACGATAGCTCAAGTGGTAGAGTAGCGGCGTATCTAGCCGAAGGTCGTGGGTTCGAATCACGCTCGTGCCACTGACTTTTTTATTTCAACTAAAAACCTTAATTAATTGTAAGATATTAATTGGTCAAGCGGACCACGAAATTAGTGAATTGTAAGTACACTTGATCACAGCGGTAAGTGAATACGACACCGTGAAATATTCTTTCCTCCCACCTCTAACTAGAAACTAGACAACTCTAGAAAACATTCGTTAATTGAAAATTGCATTTTCCAGGAAATTCTGCGCTTAAACTTTCACCGTTGGACCCAGTCCGTATCGAGAAGATCACGCTGAAACAGGGCGCAGGGACTGCTGTCGGGCTGACGATCAACTTTAAAAACCTCATCATCAATGGCCTCTCCAACGGCAAAGTCGAGTCGATGAAGTGAGTGTCTTGATTAAAAAAATAGCAAAATTATTTTTTAACGGACTGTCTCTTTATAGCATCAATCACAAAAAGCGCGAGATCACGATCGACTACAGCTTACAGAGCCCGTTGAAAATGCAAGGCGACTACACATCCAAAGGGAGGATCCTACTCATCCCGCTCAACGGGGTCGGCAAGAGCACACTAGTTTTCGGTTAGTTTTTGACTCTGTTTAGAATTTTTTTTATACGAAAGTCGCACAGGTTTGGCGAGATGGAATTTCAGGAAAGAAAAGAAACCGAATACATTCCAATTTACCCCTTGCAAGGGTCGACATAATTTGATAAACCTTTTGATAAACGGACGCTTTTCCCACTGGGGAAAATTACAGAAATTCTTACAACAGAACAGACTTGGAAATAACGGGATAAGGTTCTTTTTTATAATCTTACGTTCTTAATAAACAAGCTAACAAAATTTTATTACAATTTAAATTGTGAGGTTTTCTCCCGTGGGTGATGAACAATTCTGGGTCTGCCTATCCTCGCAGCTTATAGCTTTAATCCATCAAATTAACCATTTTATTTTTTTTTAACTGATACCTTTTTCTTATAAAGGAAGTTACAAGTTTTATTTCCTTGTATCTCAGGAGTGTGTTGCCAATTTTGAAACTCACCTTTTGTACACGTGTATTTTTTTTGTTCATGCAGGTATATTGTACATTTTTATGTATTAGTATGTAAGGAGATCGATTACGATTTACACAGCTATACGGATTGCCCATGTTATTACTTTTCCTTCTGAAATTAACCATTTTTAATTTTAAATTGACTCTTTTGCTAATTAAAAAAAACTAAAAGATGGTATGAAGTGAAATCACTTAAAATAAAATTCCCTTATATTTGAGAATTTTTTAATATAAATTTCAGGGCTCAAAGTGTTTCTTTCCTGCGTAATTGATCCCGAAGAAGACCATATGAAATTTAATTAATTTTTTAAAATTTATTTACACCTCAATGAAATATCACATATCGTAACCCCTTAAAGAAAGCTCCTTGTTTCGACATGATCACCGCAAAAATCCTTCGACATCTACCTAAAGAAACTGTACTTTTTCTTATCTACTTTTAAAATTTTGTCCTTGGAACAACGTACTTCCCATCCCAATTGAAATTTTCCCTCAACGGAATGATTCCAAAGGCTAAGAAACCATGTAACCTTCAGTCACCATACGGTCCAATTAGTGTATTGCCTATAATGGGGAAATTCCTAGAAAAACTGCACAAAATGTAAAGAACAATTTTTTAAAATAATAACTATTCGGAGATGGTGAGATGCGGTATGGTGTGACGTAGGTTTTAGAAAAACATTTTCTTTATCGTGCCAACTTTTCGAACTTTATTGAGATCATCCTCAGAGCTCAAAGTGTTTGTTTTCTGCGTCATTGTGTCAACACGACACACAAGAATGGCACAAATACTCTGAAAACAAATACTTTGAGCCCTGAAGATGATCTCTATAAAGATCGAAACGTGGCACGATAAAGAAAATGTTTTTCTAAAACCTACGTCACACCAAACCGCATCTCACGATCTCCGACCTACCAATTTTTATATTTTTAAACAATTCTCAGTTAAAATAATTTGTTTTGAAATTTACCTTCATATAACTTTTTGCCTTATAGTCTAATCCTTAAACTTTTATATAATTTTCATTTGGTCTTCTAAGAACACAGATATTTAATATCTAAAAAAACTCGCAAAAATACGAGAATTTTTACTTCTCATGCTTTTATTTCAGACCAAATCCTAAATTTTTTTAATGCGAACAAATACATTTAGTTAAAAAGTGTGGTGATTGGTGACCGTTAGTCAATCATTATTTGGAGATCGTGAGGTGCGGTCTGGTGTGATTTAGGTTTAGAAAAACCATTTTCTTTATCATGCCAACGTTTCGATCTTTATTGAGATCATCTTCAGGGCCTGGGATTTACAAACATTGTTTAAATTTACCAAATACATGTAGGATGTGGAAAAAAAGTGAATTTATACAATGCAACAAAATACTTTTTATATTCAATCATAGTATTTCTATACACTCAAAGTGTTTGTTACGCAGAAAACAATATTTTAAAAAAATCTTCTTTTCTTTCTTTTCTTTTTCTTTTTTCCACATCCTGCATGTATTTGTTAAATTTAAACAATGTTTGTAAATCCCAGGCCCTGAAGATGATTTCAATAAAGATCCTTGACACGATAAAGAAAATGTTTTTCTGAAACCTACGTCACACCAGACCGCATCTCTTGATCTCCGAATAATAATAAGTTAAAAAGCTTAAATTGAAATTTAAAAAAAGGGTAATTTGAAGATAAAAATGGTTTATTTGAAAATAAAAAGGTTAATTTGAAATTAAAAAGGGTTAGGTGGAATTAAAAATGGTTAATTTGAAATTGAAAAAATTAATTTGACGGAACATTTTATACATACCCATGCTAAATAAAGAGCATGTTGCAAATAGAAATATTCGACCTGCTCTGTGCACAATTATTCATGATAATTTTCAACTTGCAGATGATATTTTTTATGACCGATTGTTGTTTTTATTTTATTTTCAGACGACTTTAAAGGAAAATGCGTTCTTCGATGCAAGAGCGTGAAGAAGGGCGGACAGGAGTTCTGGGAGGTTCTTAAGACCGACATTAACATCGAAACCTCCAGGCTGCACTTGAATTTCAAGAGAACGCAGAACATCAACGAAGGACTGGGTAATTATTTATCATTGAGAAAATCTTTTTTAAAAATTTGAATTTTCTTTTTATGCTCGCCCTAGGTGCCAACCTGAACACATTCTTGAATGAGAACTGGAAAGAGATCCTCCAAGACCTGAAACCGGCCATATCTAAGGAGTTTGGATCGATTTTCAAGAACTACGCCAATTCGTTGTTCAGCCAAGTACCATTCGATCAAATCTCACCTGCTTAAAAAGCTGACTGCATTTACTGTCTTTTAATGTGATATTTATATAAATAGAAAGTATTTAAATTCTTTTTTTGTGAGTTGTTTCGAAACCATACAATAACCCCAAAGATAAGAAACATTATTTGATGAAAAAAAAGAGACATCTTCAATAAGTATTATGCAAGTATTAAATTATGTATTCGACTTCACTTACTTGACAACAGCTAGTAAGAAGTCGGAGAGTTTTCTTTGTTTCGCCATGGACATGTAAAGCCTGGCGTAGTGGAGTGCGATGCCACCCCAGACAAGGTAGCTGGTGGCGATCTCCTCGTCTTCTTCGTGAAATCTACCACAGCCGGACGAACAACGCCACATCTCCAGGACGGCAACCAGCTGACCGTCGGGCTGGACGATTGGCTCCAGCAGCAGGTGCTCCATGTCCCCGATGCCCTGCGAAAAAATTTCATTAGCTGTCCATATCGATAAACGTGGTTTTTCGTACGGTTGAACCATTATAAAAGTTCGATCTTAGTGTCCACAAGAGCAAACCTGGTTTAATCAGTTATTTGGACAGATCAGGCAAGAAAAACGACATCCAAAAATAATTTCACGTTTTATCATCAAGATTTTTTTTAGAATCAAGCCACTGAATACCCTTAGAATAAATCAATAATAAAATATAATTATTAAAGCTTTTCGTCTTTGCGCCATTTTCAGTGAGGAACTTCTACTTATTTATCAAAACGATTGCTACTTTCACTAAAGGATTATTGTATTATTATCCCCCGGAATAAAAGAGTTTATGATTCAAAACGTTTTATTCATTCATTCAAAATTTTCTTAAGTTTTGTTTATTTTTTATTATTATTAATCTTTTCACCTTACCAATCCATCAACCACGGTTTTTTACTTTCCTTCATCAATTTCTCCATCTTTGAAAAAAGTAATTAAAAAAGCAATTACATCACTCAAAAGGATATTAAATGGAGTACGTTTTCTGAAATTTGCTGGTATCTAGGTTTGGAAATAGTAGTTAAGAATCACCATAGTAAGTTTTTAAACATTGAACAAAAAATATTTTTCAAAGTTCTAGCTACTAAAGGGCTTATTTCCCCAAAGTTTAAAAGTTTAGTGTTGATCACATCTTATTAGAAATTTTCAGCAATTTTCAGTGGTATCAACGGATTTCTCCAAAACCTTTTAATTTTGGAGTTATCGTTGATTATTTGAAGCAAGATCGTGAAATCTTAAAAAATCGGAAAAGGGGGAATAACTTCGAAACTGTTGAGATTCGGACCATAGTTAATTAGGACTTTTTGGTTCCACCTTGAATGTAGAATCTATTGACAAAGCTCTGACACGAATACCCTGTACTACACCTGATAAAAAAAAAATGTCTTAAGTCTATTTTGAAGTCTGTTTGACTAACCCCGAGAAAGATTTTTGTTGTTAATTAGAGATTAAATATTGTCAGACGTGCCCAGTAAACAAAAGTGTAAATCAAATAGTTCTATTTGACCGTGCGGACGTTACCTTGGACGGGAAATTGGGTTCGCCTTTTGAAAGTCGCATCGGTTCTTTCGTCTTTGCGACGATGCAGGGCAACAGCGCCTTCCCGAGCCGCTGGCAGTCACTGCGAGCAAACGAAAGTTTTAACGAAATAAAAATCATTTCGGACTTTAAGCGAACTCACTTCGACTCGTATCCCAGGTACAGGCATAGGTGGTTGTCGTCGTCCGTGTCCGGAAGGTAGAGTCTGTAGCCGTCTGCGGAAACTGCGGAAGAGATGCAGCTCGCCAGCTCCGAGAGGACATTGACGACGCTGGGACGCAGCTGCAGCGAATGAGTCAAATCCTGCAGCATTTGACGCTTGTCGGCGTGGACGCAAAACTGAACAACACCATATTAATTTATGAATTTAAAATTTGGCATTAAAAACGTTTACCTTCCAGCGAGACAAACTCGTCTTTCTGCCGGCAGAGCCTGAAATACAATAAAAACTTATTTCTGTTGGATTACATATATATAAAAATAGTTTAAAAGTGATCGTATATGATTAATTGAATTTAAAAAATTATCAATTGCTATAAACCAAAAGATTTATGTTCAATCATGGTTGACTAAAATTTTTGAGGTTTCCGATCATTCTGAATTAATTATTCTCTAAGTTTTGGTCAAACAAACGTACTCAAATGACTAAATGTTAAAATGTGTCTCAATTATAACAAACAGTATTAAAAACAGATTATAATGACTGGAAACGATCCAAAAAACAGTGAATCACCAAGCAGATCTCAACCGGAATTTTTTTTAAAGATTTGCCCAAATAGACTCTGCCATAATATATACTTGCCCTACTACAGCAATATAATCAATGAGACTGAGATTCAAGGACCAGATGTAAGGAGGAGCCACGACAAAATTCTTGAGAGAATTAAAATAAGATGGTTGTAACGGTACCTGACAAAATGAAAGGAAACCCCAACTTTGATGGACCCTACGAAGTGATCATAGAAAATAGAGAACTTTAGAAGAATGGTACCCCCGAGTTTCAGCACGGGGGAGGCCCTAATATGGTACACGGATGGAACAAATATAAAACAGGGAATAGGTATAGGGGTAAAAGGGCCGAACTGTGCACTAGATAAGCTCCTAGAATTAATTACAACAATGTTCCAAGCTGAGGTACAGGCACTACAACCCCGTGCACAGTTTATAAAGAAAAATACGAAAGGTGAAAGATTTACATACTCTCAGAAGGTCCGGAAGATATAAAACACTAAATGAATATACTTTCTAGTACGAAGTTTTTTCGGAGGATCTACGGAAGAGGTCAACACAGAGAAAAACTTCCTTTCGGTTTTCGCCGAGCTTTCGACAGTTTTTATACTGTCATCTTCCAAGGGTAACGCAAATGTAATACTAACAAAGGAGCAGTATAGGCAGAAAATGAAGGATATTTTAAATGATTCAGGGAAATATGAGACTATAAGGGATGACCCCACCACGAAATTGCAAGCTACCAACAATCTATTGGTAAACAAATTAATAAATGCGGAGCTTATCACAAAGGCTAAAGGAACAAATCTTAAAACTTATATAGCGGTGGCTCCAAAAATATATGGTCTACCCAAGATACATAAAGTGGACTTACCGCTCAGACCTATAGTCTCATGTATTCATGCTCCAACTTACAACCTATCAAAATGGGTTCATGAAGTATTGTCGTCCTTATGTGTAGACAATAGATACAATTTTAAAAACTCTTTCGATGTAAAAGAAAAAATAAGTAATATAACGATAAATGAGGATGAATTACTTGTATAGCTATGTAAAATCTCATTTCACATCAGTGCCTCCGGGGTTGGTCAGTTACATCATCCAAAGAAGATGGAATGAAGTCGAGATGTCTTATCCAGGTTTAAATATTGAATTATTCATGGAAGTGATGTCTTTCACTTCAATGAATGGATATTTCAAATTTGAGGAAGAAATTTATAAGGAAAAAGATGGGGGTCGCTATGGGAGGTGTTTTGTCGCCAGTCTTAGCTGACCTCGTCATGACAGATTTATTAGACCCAATTACCGTTTGAATTAAAACTTATGATAAAATATGTGGACGACCTATTAAGTATAATTCTAAAAATAAAAAAGTTAAAGATTCTAACTTGTCTGAATTCATATCATGATGCTTCACAATTTACCACAGTGGAGGAGGTGGACAGGAAACTGCCCTATCTCGACCTCTTAATAAAAAGGACGGAAATGGGTCAATTAATAACAAACTGGTATAGAAAGCCAATAAATCAGGGAAGATTTTTTGACTTCAATTCTGCGCATTCGTATATATATATATATATATATATATATATATATATAAGATGCTGAGCACCAAAAAACGTAATGTACTTTTGTGCCCACGACACCATGTCTTTTTATTTCCCCATTAAGGTTTAAGTAAGATATATAAAAATTTTCAATTTTTGTGCAATTGTTTTTTCATGTTTCTAATTGTTGTTTTTATATGATAATAAAACAGGCCCTGAAGATGACAGTATAAAAACTGTCGAAAGCTCGGCGAAAACCTGTTTTTCTCTGTGTTGACCTCTTCCGTAGATTCTCCGAAAAGACTTCATGTTTCCAGCAGGTCGAAAACCCAGCTCATCGATACTTTCTAGTCCAAACTTGTCTGAAAGTGCCTAAATTGTTTAATGGGTCGGGGAAAATAAAACAAGATTATCTTAAACTTACGGATAAATGAAGGTATAGAAGGAAATGAAAACTGACCAACCTGCCGAGAATGGGAAGCCCTCATCAATAGGACCAGAACTATTGGGTTGTTTTACATGAAATGTCCGTTTCCAAAGTAAAGGTTTTTTTAGTAAAAATTACTATATAAGAACGAACTCATTTTATTCTAAGTGTTTACCTTCATTTTCTACACATTTTTCCAACTCTTGACCAACATTTCTATGCCGGAACTGAAGAATTATGAGCTTTGAAATTAAACAAAATCTGAAAACAGTTTATCGACTTGAACATCAATTGCAACAATTTTTCCTTCGACGAAGTTTTCTAAATTCCTAAACAGGTGTAAATCTGTTGGAGACAAGTCTGGAGTATAGGAAGATGCTGAAGAACTTCGTCGCTCTTTCAATTTGGCTGAAAGTTTGAAAATATGAGGCCTGGCGTTGTCGTGGAGGAATATAGGACCTTTGAGATTGACTAATGCAGGTTGTTGTTTTTTTTGTTTTTTTTTATGCATTTCGTCAAATTCCTGGCAGTAGAATGTAGACGTAATGGTCTCACCTCTAGGCAAAAATGAGTAGTGAATAATTCCAGCCATGGACCAACTGCGGACACCATCAATTTTTTAGGTGTTTTGACATGTATCCTGGTCTTTTATCAATGTTTAACCACTGCCCTGACCGACGCTGATTGTTACATGCAATCCATTTATCATCGCAATTGATTATTCTTTCAAGGAAATGCTCGGTTTTTTGCCTGGCAAGCAAGGAAACGCATGTCTCAAGGCGCTTTTGTCGAATGCCAATCGCTAAAGTTTTGAGAGAAAGGCTAAGTCCTACAAACCATGCCATCAAGATCAGAGAAATGACTAGATGCGTCTTCTCGAAACTAAGCTCGATCGCGAAATCAAAATGGGGGCTGAGTTCAAGGGCGCTCTCCATCACTTACATAAGCGTATACCTGCCCATTGCCACGTACGGAGTAGCAGCTTGGGGAACAAAATTGCAAAGCAGGAGTAGAAGCATCCTCGAGCAGAGTCAAAGAATAGCGCTCCTGAGAACGACTAGAGCTTATAGGACAGCCCCTACTCACGCCCTCCAAGTCCTTGCTTCCGCTGCACTAATAGACATTGTGCTCCACAGTAGAATTGCAATCCGGCAGCTAAGAGATGGAAAGGGGCCAACAATGGTAAATTTGGATGCGTCAGATAGGAAAATGCTGCGAACTGCACCTAGAAAGCAGATCCGGGAGATCCTTACAGTTTGGATAGACAACTTGTGGCAGGAAAGATGGGACAGAAGCACCAAGGGAAGGTTAACCCACGAGTTTCTACCCAGCAGTGAGGACCGAGCAAGAGCAAAGTGGTTTCAAACAGATTTCTGGATCACACAAATAATGACAGGTTACGGAAATTTCAACGCTTACTTGCACCGATTCCGTTAGAGCTAACAGTCCACTGTGTCCCGACTGCGGAGTTGATGACAGTGTCCAACACAGACTATTCAACTGCCCCCTCCTTGAGAGTGTAAGGAACTACACTTGGCCACCGACCCTCAACGAGCTGGTTAAAGAAAAGAGGACGTTTGAGGTCCTCAAGCCTGTTAGCCGAGCTATAGTGGATAAAGTACCTGACTAGTTTTTTCTTTCTTTCTTTTTTTTTCTTTTTCTTCCTATGATAAGTTACTTGTTAGATCTTAGCGTTTCCCTGAACTTTTAATTCCGGGCTGGTTACTCCTTGTAACCATAATTGTTATTTATTTATTAAATATTGTATTTATTAGAAAGTGTTCAAAAGGATTAACCAGCAAGGGGGAGACCTATTAGATTTCATAAATTAATAATAAGAAAAATATTTCCCTTCTTCCTTGGGTCTTCTTTTTCAGAGCAAGGTCGAAGGAAGACGTTAAGCACAATAAGATCCCCTAAACTTGCATCCCATTTGAATTAGTTTAGTGGCCGTGGTCCGCCGGTAGGGGTCCCCTTAAGTACGGGGAGGTGCATGGGAAAAAAGACGCTTTTGTCGCTCAGTGAGCTCATGAGCGACTCATAGATCAAACACTTCCATTTAGTTGTGCTGCGAGTCCTACGACTGTTTGGTAGTGGTTTTCTTCCGCCTGAAGCTTAAGGACATAGTTGTCAATTAAAGTTGGAAGTCTTCCGCGAGCTCGATTTCCAGTTCGGTATTCCCTTGAGAAAACATCAAACCAACGGCGAATGGTACGAACACTCCCTTCCTCAAACACTTTACTTTGTTTCTTGCAGCCTCAGCTGCCGAATGACCGAGTTTAGTAAAGGCACACTACACGAAAATCGCGTGTTTCGGTGTTCATATTTGGAGATGTACTAAAAGTGTGTAATGGATGGGGAACTTATCATTATAAACAAAAGTGGAAGAATAACTGCTTAATTGTAACATGTATACAATTGGAAGTAAACTACAGAAAACCGCTACATCCTCTCTGAATTTCTCAAACTATAAAATCGGACTTTTCATGTGAAACAACCCATCTAGGTGCTCCGGAGTGTGTTTTTAAGTCTGAACTAGAAAAATACCTCGAGAAAGACTCAATCACTGGACAAATGCACCAGTTTGAGACAATCTAAGAGATTTATAAATCTCTCAAAAAGAAAGGCGAAGAAACTTTTCCTTCTCAGCGGACAGGATTTGAAGCAAATTATCGTCCTGTGTACACTACCACTTAAAAAAAGAAGATGGGCAAAACAGACAGAACCATGCTGACTTTGTCGAGAGGAACAAGAGACAAACAGCACACGTCCTTTGAGAATGTGAAGCATTAGTCTACTTACTGTACATCCACTTAACGCTACAGAATCAAGTAAGTTCATCATCTATAAACAGCTGGACGTTGAATGTAAATAATTTTCAATCGCCAATGAACTTCCGATTATAATGAGGGGTGAATTATTTTACCAAAATTTCACCCTCTGGGTTGAACCCTCCTGTTATGTTCAAGGGAGAGTATGGTTCATTTTATGGCTATATCTAGTTTTAGAGATTTCAGAATACGAACAAAATTTAAAAAAAAATGCGAAACACTGTAGACTGTTTTAATCGAGTAAATTAAGCCTGGTCCGCTTGGAATTACAGACATAATTTAGTTAATGAATTTAATTATTAATTTCTATATTATTTTATATTATTGTTGATCATATTAAATATTCTTTTATAGTATATGTACTTTTAGTTTAACTATTTTTTTCAATATTTGAATGCAACCTCAATTCAATATAATTTAATTTTTAATTAAATGTAATGATATAATGTAATTCTTGTTTGCATATAACATTGCGTTATCGCTATCTTTACATTAATTTCTTCTCTATACTTTTTATTAAATATTATTAATATAGCAAAACTATTTTTTCATGGTCCGGTTCAAGGATATCTAAGCCAAGACGCTTTTATATAGCTAGGAGCTTCTTTATAGCTTTTTTCTACTATGTAATTTCGTAATTATTCATAAATATAGTATCTAATTATAATTAAATTATAGCCACTTAAGGTGAGGTAATTTTCACACTAAAAATGGTACGAGGAAAGTGCTTAGCCATCGAAAAAAGTGCACTTTTTAAGGTATGGTTATAATTTATAGAGGTTCTACAATTGATCTATATAGGTCGCAGTGGAGGAAATGATTTTTAAAATCGTTACTCAACCCCCAAACCTTAAAAAATCTCGAGGCTAACCCTTTTTAAGTTATTTGTAATTTTTTAAATCTAATGAACATACCAGCTCGTTTTTTATCACGCTGCGTCCTCCTTATGATCCATCTCTCGAGTTGCTCGATCTCCAGCTCTTCCATGACGTACTTCTCCAGGAAATCTGGATTTTCTCTCAAGAAGCCGGCCACCCTGGCTTCTGTCAGATCTGAAAAGCAGATTACGTTCTTTTTTGATAGAATTCATTCGTCTTCAGGCTGGCAACCAAACCGGCTCGGATCAATGCCTTTCTTATCTATAGCAGGATTTTTCAGAAGAAATGATAAAAACCAAACGGTTGTATGAAGATTAAAAAAACAAGATTTTCTTCGTTTGTATCTGCAAAATTAAAATCTCTAAGACTGTAAAGGTTGAAAATTTTTTACAAACATGTTCTTCATTAAACTTTAAACTTTTAGTAGTTAAAATAAAATATATATATTATCGAGTGCAGTCAAAATTTAATTTCTCGAGTTGATTCTTTCAATTTTTGGTAAGATTTCAAGCCTTGTTAGGTCGATTTGAGATGGAAAAAGAAAATTTCGTTACTCACCTGAGACGTGATTGTGGCTCTCCATTTTTTTATCGCCGTTCATCACAATTGAATCGGCGTTTGAAGACTCCGGGTTGGCATCTGAAAAAACCCAAACAAAAATATTGAAAAATGTATTGGCAAGATTAAAAATAGTATAATTTCCTTTTAATTAAACAACCCTGATTAACGTTGATATATCAGGGCTTCCCAATATCAGTTCTGGAATGGATTATCCCGAATTTAATAACAGACAATGAGAAAAATAAATATTTACTGTTTGATATAAAATTTATGATTATTTATTATTAGATCCCATTCATTTGTTGTGGTACCGTGAGAGTGATTTTTCTACATTAAGATTTATTTACATCCGTGAGAATTGTGAAAAATATATTAGAAAAGTGGAAGCGTCGTAGGGCTGAATCGACTGGTGTCCGTCAAGCCGACGGACAATCGGTGGAGCCCGGAAGCGATATCTCGAAGGGAAAGAGTCGTCCTGACCCGCTTGCGGATCGGTCACACACGTGCGACTTATGAGAACCTGTTGTTTGGCGCGAATCGACCTAGGTGCCCAGCATGCCAAGATAACAGACTCACTGAGTCGCACGTGTTGGAGGGTTGTCGCAGCTTGGCCCCGTATAGGGAACGAAATGGAATACCGCCGGACTATACGAGAATGCTCGAACATGGTAGCGAGTTTAAAGAAAAACTTTTTAAGTTTTTGAGAGAATGGGGATAATGGGTTGTACATAGTGGTGTATTTATTTCGTAGGTTAAAATTTAGGTAACGCTTATGTTAGAATAAGAGTTTGCGGGGCGCCGGTGCAGCATATCATTTCAAGGCTCCACCGCCGCTCCGCCAAGCCGGGTCAGGGCGGAACATCGAATACCCTCCGACCTGGATTCTAGACAGAGGATATGCATGTGTGATTGGGTTTGTATATAGGAGTATGTATTGTATGAGTGAGTGTGAGAATTACTAGTTTTAGGGAACGTAAGGGTGCTGAAATGACCAAAGAAGTCGATGGGGCCCGATCAGAGCCCCCAACCTCGGAGTCGCTCAGGCACAAAGTGGATGACTCCCCCTGATCCATCAGAGGAGGCCAGAGGCCCCCTAGGAGATCTCGTAATTCTAATTTGCCTATTTTTACATCCTTATATGAATCTTTTACAAATAAGTTTAAATAAGTCGTAAATTAGTTAGTAGTTCATAAGTCGTTGATTAGTTTAAAGGTTTCAACTTTTTTTTTGTTATTATGCACACTTTTTGAGCGGAGTCTGTTGTTATTGTCTTTGTTATTCCAAATATTGGTTCCGAGCCTATGGTCTTATAGATCCTCCTCTGGCCAATTAGTCTGCTTTTTCATTACCTAGAACTGTTTTGTTTCCTAGCATCCTAGGTTTTGGAGATTTTGGACGCATTCACTATTTTAAACGAATCGGTCCGTAAGTACTTCTTTGATGTTCATTCAAATAACCGACCTAACCCTACTGGTCAAGTTTCTCCACTATATCCTATCCCAAGAACCATCCACTTCTTATAACACATATCCTCCGGAGTGTTGGTATTTATAACATAAAGAATAATATTAAATTAATTAAGGTTTTTAGTTGAGATAAAAAAGTCAATGACACGAGTGGGATTCGAACCACCCAATGCCGCTACTCTACCACTTGAGCTATCGTGACTTCGATCGGACAGTAACTTCCCATCTCAACCCCACCTTTGTATTTTCCCTCCTTTTTGCCATTTTTCAAGATAAAGAATAATTCGTGTTGTTTGATGAACATAAATATTTTTTATTTATTTTTAAAGTCTCCAATGAGACCGATTATTTGTTCATTTTGTTATTCAAAAATCTGAAAAATATGTATCTTAGTGTACTCCTGTAATTGTTTTAATTACAAAAAAGGCAATTATTTTTATATGTTTTTGACAAATGTATGTTAATCCTCATGACCGTTTTGATGTAATCAGACTTTGTTAATTAAGCAAAACCTGGAACTAGACTTGTCCCCGGCTGTTTATGAGCGTACATAACAAGAAATCACACATTGCAGTCCGGCTCGCCCATTTCGCTAATTTGTAAGTCGAGGAGATCCTTTGGGAAATCAATACGACCTGTCTTTGCCGTCGTAGTGAAATCTCCGTCCTAGGAACTTGCCTTTGAACATAGATATCTGATACACGTCATTTTGGAGAGACACGAGGCGATTATTCTTCGTCTCTTGGTGTGACTCGTGGTATAAGGAAATACCTCAATTTGGCTAGTGTAATTTGCTACATTCCCGGCATCCTGTTTTCCCTGACAATCGTACACATTTGAAAAATTGAATTAATTCGACTTTCTAACAGGTTTAACCTTAAATAGGATGTATATGCAATTCGTTGCCTGACTGTTTATATAAATGAATACAGTTTATCTTATCTCATTCTACCCCCTTGCCGATTTGTTTAATTGATTTTGAATCAACTTTCAGCCGGTAAATGATTATTTGCCAATAAATATTTATTCCTTATCTTTTCTCATTTCCATTTTTTGAATTGGATTTTGCATAGATTTGGATACCGTTCGAGTGATGCCAGACCACCCTACACTCCATGTTTTATCCTTTTATCCCATATATTTTTTAAATATTATTTGTACTCCTTTATATATCTGTAAACAAATATACATTCAACATGTTTATTATATTTCAACAAAGCATCTGTTGCCGCTGGATGGGTTTTAATGTTTGATCTCTAAGCTGGTTGTCGACTGTGGGAAGGGAAACAACCTTTTAACTCTTCCTTGCCCAATGTTGCCTCGGAGCAACACCAAATTCAGCAAATTTGTTCAAGCTTAGCTGATCCCATGGGATTAGGGCGGTTGTGTTTTTCCTTTAATGTTTCATCCCGAGTATTGGCAACACCGATTTTTTTGGCGTCAATCTAAAATCTCCATCTTGGAACCTTACATCTTCAACTCTTACTTCACTACTTCACTTCGTATCGATCGTTATATTTACCAAAGGTGAAATCTCTCATGTCCGTTTTATAATTTAACACTTTCCTGACCAAAGTTGCCTCAGGGCAACACGTTTTCTACTAGTTAGTTAAATCTATGCGTTTAGGGCGGATGCACTGTTTTTTCTTCAATGTTTCATCCCGACTATTGGCAACACTTATTTTTTTTAACACCATTCTAAAATCGCCATCTTGGAATCTTATATCTCCACTCTTTACCTCACCACTGCATCTTGTATCGTCATTATATTTGCGCAGCGTAAAATGTTTTATGTCCAGTTTACAATTTAACACTTTCCTGTTCAAAGTTGCCTCTGGGAAACACTAAATTTAGCAAATTTGATCAAGGTTCAAATCCTATGCGATTAGGGCGGATGTAGTTTTTCCTTCAATATTTCATTCCGAGTATTGGCAATACTGATTTTTTTTTAGCGCTAATTTAAAATCTCCATCTTGGAATCTTATATCTCCCTCTTTACCCCACACCATCATCCAGTATCGATCGTTCCATTTGCCAAAAGTAAAATTTTTCATGTCCAGTTTATTAACTCTTTCATGCCCAAAGTTACCTTATGGCAACACCAAATTTTGCAAAATTGTTAAAGGGAAGATAATCCCATGAGTATAAGGTGCAATTATTTTCGTTCAGTGTTTCTGCCTGTGTATTGGCAACACTGATTTATTTGGCGCCAATCTAAATATCCATCTTGGGTATAGCCACCAACATGGCTCTTCACCTAACCAAGGCATCTTGTATTAACTGTTATATTTGCTAATGATACAATTTTTCATTTATAGTTAATTTAACCCTTTCTTGCCCCAAGGTGCTTCAGAGCTATGCCAAGTTTAGCAGTTTTGTTTAAGGTTAGCAGAAAATCCCGTTGGTTTAATTCAGGCGCAGCGTTGTTCCTGCTATGATTTTGCCCGAGAATTGAAAAACTATTTTATTTGGTGCCCGTCGAAACTCTATCTATCACTAAACTTACATGATAACATAGCTATTCGTCTTACCCTAAGAGAACATTGGATCATATCATAATCTACTGAATATTAGAAGGTATTCCCAATTATACATAGGAAAGTTGGACGACATTTAACTTTTGGACAAAATTAGATTAAATGGGCGTTCGGACCTAATATGAAAGGGCGAAAGCAGCAGGTATGCTTAATAATTTCTTTTGAAATAACAGCCTTTTAAACGAAGATAAAAAGAAAATCAAAATTGGAGGAATTTTGTAAAACCTGGCCAAAGCCACTTATTACCTCTTGGTAATAAATAATCAATTAGTTTTCATCAAGTCCTTAATGGATTAACTCATTAACGATCATACTAAGAAAACCGTCCTTCATTTTAGAAAATGCTAATTATCAACTTGATCTCATTTGGCTCAACGGCTTATCCGCTGTTGCTTGTTCTAACCCGGATTACTTAATTGGCAAGCCAAAGTCTCTGTGGACAAAGATTAGACAGTTTAAAAAACAATTCACATTATTCGAGGCTTAGGAGTAAGTTAGTTTAGACTAAAGCAACCTAATAAAAATATTATAAATAAGTTCGTTAGATTTCGTGGTCCGATTGACCAAATACATCTTGCAATTAATTAATCTTTATGTGAGGTATTGATTGAGATAAAATTACATGAATTTAGTAAGTTAAATGAAGTATATCTTCACTAAAGCTTTCCGTGGCCATTTCATTTGTCGCCGAGAATCATATAGATTACATTGCATTTGAAAAATGGCAAAAAGGAGGGAAAATTCGAAGGTGGGGTTGAGATGGAGAATTGGTCTGAGTGGATCGAATTCACGATATCTCAAGTAGTAGAGCAGCGGCCGAAGGTCGTGGGTTCGAATCCCGCTCGTGACACTTACTTTCTATCTCAACCAATACCTTAAATAAAGATTAATTAATTATAAATAAGGAAATGAAAGATTGCTAGCCCCATCAGAAGTGTAATTCAACGATCCTCGATTTTAAATTTCGGGATTTGATAACCTCTTGCACAAAAAAAAGGAATTTCAAGATTATTGTGTATCTTTATGAAAGGTATTGGTTGAGATAAAAAAGTCAGTGCCACGAGCGGAATCCGAA